CCCTAATTATCAGAGATGAGAGATACAGATAAAGATTTAACAAGAAATAAATTTATTAACAAAAGCTTTCAAGGCAATCATATTTATATATTATATTTTTAAGTATAATTTATAAAATAATTTGTTAAAATAAAAAAAATTGATTTTAAAACAAAAAATATTATAAAAAAGAAATTTATAACACCTCATTATTGCTTTCACTAATATGCTTTTCATTTGATAGTTTTTCTTTCATGATTAAACTGGAATTAACACAAACAACCTTTAGTTTATTTTTAAACTTATTTGCCAAATAATTAATTTCGTTAATAACTGGAATGAATTCCTTTTTGACTTTACCAAATACAACATGACGACTATCTAACCAACTGGTTTGTTTAAAGGTAATAAAGAATTGAGAACCGTTTGTATTAGGTCCAGCGTTGGCCATACTAACACATCCAATACTATCATGTTTGACACTAAAATTCTCATCTTCAAATCTATTATCGCCAAAAATATTAATAGAACCAGTTCCATTTTGATTAACAATATCACCACCTTGCATCATAAAATCTTCAATAATTCTATGAAAAATCATACCATTATAACTGTAATGTTTGCCTCTAATATCAATTCCTTTGCAAAGATTGGCAAAATTAGCACAAGTAAGTGGAACCTTTTCCCAAAATAATTCAATTTCAACATCACTTACTTTTAAGTTATCTGAAGTACCATATTCAATCCTTAATAAAGCATCACTGTTAATTACACTATCAACTAACGAATTATTCTGCTTTTTACTTTTACTTGTTGCAAGACTTAGAACACTTCTGATAAGAATTAACAAAATCATTTAAAGTAAAAAATTGATAAAATTTATTTAAAGTTCAGTATGGTTACTTTCATTAACTTTCTTTTCTTCTTCTTTATCGGTACCAGAATCAGCATCTTCTTCAACTGCTTCTTGATCTTTTGATTCCTTCTTATCTTCATTAACGACATCATTCACTTTGTTATTTTCATTTTCAAGTCGTGCAATAGCTTCCATCTGTTGAGAGAGATTTTTGAGGAAAATTTCAAGTTTCTTAAGATTCTCTTCGTTCTCAAAATCAAGTGCTTCTTGGTCTTTAGATTTATTATCAATCTTATCCTTTAATTTTCTTTTAAAATTCTCAAATCCATTCTTACAAGACTCTTTAAAATCACTAACACGCTTTTTAACATTAGACACGCCATTTCTAAGATACTTTCTAGCCTTTTCAGTTAAGGATACTTCTGGTTCTGTTAATACATCTGTACAACCAATTAAATTTAGAATATTGAAATAATACATTGAGGGGTTAAAAAATAGAATTTTTAAGAATTTGATTTTTTATTCATCATTTTAATTTCTACGTAATGAAATAACTCCCCTTCAAAAGAAATAGAAGAAGCCTCTATACAATAAAAGAAAATTTTATCATTTTTGATGAAAGGTTTAACAATTAACTTGTATGATCCACCTTCAAATACCTGTGTGTCTTTTTTAATGATAAAAAGACTTGAGTAGAAATCGGTTAAAAAACAACTTCGTGTAATGATCTTTGTAATAACACCACATAGAGTAATATAAGATAATTCAGTGTCTTTATAACAAAATTTCCCGTTTTCTTTTTTTAAGTCCTCACATTGTGCAGTTGTTAGCGGAATTGAAAATTCTTTTATCTTCATATTTTTTACAAAAATTTTTAACCCCAAATGTCTAAAGTAATAAGAAGACTGAGAAACATTAAAATCAAGTCTAGAAGGAAATCAAAAGCTGATTCAAAAATTATTGAACCATCATACCCAAGATCAAACGGTATTCAAGAAATGAAATGTGTCAAGTTAATTCATCAGAGAGGTAAAGGATGTCCATTGGCTGAGATGAACAGTAACGATAAGGTATTTCATGTCATTGCAACTGAAGGAATGTCAGTTGGTAAGATATACACAATGGGAAATGAAAAGAAATCAAATCCAGGAAATATTTTGAAATTAAAAAACGTTCCAGAAGGTTCATATGTTCACTCTTTGGAATATGTTTTTAATGATGGAGGAAAAGTTGCTATGACAGCAGGATCTAAATGCACTATTGAGAATCATAGAAGAGAAGAAAATGAGACTGTCATTAAGTTACCTTCTGGTGTCAAGAGAGTTTTTTCATCTGAAGTTAGATGTATAGTTGGTGTATGTGCTTCAGCTGGTATTAAAGATAAACCACTTCTTAAGGCAGGAGTAGCTCACCATCTTAGAAAGAGTCGTGGCCAAAGATTCCCAATAGTACGTGCAGTTGCAATGAACCCAGTTGACCACGCTCATGGAGGAGGTAGTCATCAACATATTGGTACATCATCATGTATTTCAAAAAGAGCACCAGAGGCACAGAAAGTTGGTTTGGTTGGAGCAAGACGTACTGGTTATCAGAAATAAATTGATTATTTAGAATGTTTATGCTTAAATCAAATTCTTAATTTCTTCTTTTTATGCGTAAAGGTATTTATTAATTAAAAATAAACATCCATAAATGTCAATAGAGAAGAAGATTGAGTACAAAATAAAATTTACTTTAAATAGTATGACTGCAAAGTTGATTGAGATTAAAGATATATTAGCAAAAGACAGAATACCTGAATTTAAAAACATGTACAATAATTCAAATAAGGCACAATTATTTTGTTCCAACATCAACGAAGAAACCTTGTTTTCCATGAGCACTATTCCGCTTGACAGTAAATCAACAACTCATAAAGTATTTCTCTGTGAGGTTGCTGTTGGTAAACCAATATTTGTGAATAGTGATTTTATAAAACAAAATCTTCCTATTCCATCAGGATATGATTCTTTAGTTGTTGGAGAGCTCAATGATGAGATAGCAGTAGACAGTAAAGTAGATACAAGTAGGTATAATTATGTAATTAAGGATAAAAATAAGATACTCCCATTGTATGAAATTGTATTTGAGTATGATCCAGAATTTGAAAAGGTTGCAAGAAACAAGAACATCTGTGTAAAATGTAAAAGAAGGGAAGCAATAATGTTTTGTCCACCTGAAAGAGCATCTTTCTGTAGCGCATGTGACAACGCTATTCATAAGGATGAATTTTTAAAGAGACATGAAAGAAAGTATTTTGCTCAGGTAGGACAAAAAAAATTTTCAACCTGTGTACATCACACAACTAAAGTTGTAGAATATTTCTGTGAAAATTGTCTTGAGCCGCTCTGTTCATATTGTAAAATCAATGGGTCACATGCAAGTATTGAATATGCAAAACACAAAATTATTCCATTCTATGATGCATGTAAGTCTTTGTCTGATGATATTTCAGAAAGTACTAATGATGTGAATGCCTATAGAGGAAGATTAGAAAATGAAATTGAAAAGTATAATCAAAATCTCAAAGATTTTTATGAGAATTATGAGAAAATTAAAGAATGTGTTGAGAAGGAATATAAAAAAACACTTCTACAATTAGAATACTTAAAAAATAACCGTCAACAAAGCTTTAATGCCTATTTGATTGAGATGGTTAAGTACAAAGATACGTTTAAAAAAATGGTAGATTTTCCACAAGAAATGGATCCAACAGACAAACTACAGTATTACAAAGCTATATTGCACCAAAGAGAACTAGAAAACTATCCACAATACATAGTTGAACCAATTGATGAAATAAAGATTGAGGGCAAACTTTCAATAAAAGCAACAGATAGTCAGGAAGTAAGTTTAAAGAAAGTTAATGAAAATAAAAGAAACAACGTTCACTAATAAATCAAATTTCTTTTATTTCTAGTAAAATATTTCTTTTACAGAATTTTAAGCAGGCTTTTAAATCATCGTTTGAATTTAACTTAATCATTTCGTTATTACATTTGGCATATAAAATTAGTTTATCAAGTTGATTGTTATCACTTGTGTTAATTGTGAAAGCGGGAAAAAACTTTTCACTTATTTTTGTTATAATTTCCTTTTTGAGTTTATAAATGTCATAACTGTAAATTAAAATGAATGTTCTTAAATCTGCTAATTTAACTAAAGCAACACCTTTTAGTTTTTTATTCGTAGATTCTTCAAATGATATTTTAGAAGCAAATATTTCACGTAATTTCTTTTGTTCGGTTGGTGTTGTTGGTATTTTAAGAACATTTTCACCTTTTAAAACAAGTTTAACATATTCTTTTGAGAATTTAAGTTTTTTTAAATTAAAATACGAGATTCTAATTTTATTATCATGACCTTTTACAGACAGTGAATCATGATAAAAAGTTATTGTATGTGGAGAGCCTTCATTGTTTAATTTGAGTGTGTGTGTTATAACGAGAAGCTTATCATTTTCAGTCATTTGTTTGTGTGTAAATTTAGAAACAAAATAAAGAAATTAAAATTTATTAAATTCTCCAATTAGATACTCAATAGCATTATCTGTGATGTGGTATTGTTTACCTTTATTATTTTCAAAATTATCAGTATAGTTCTCAAGAAAGTCAGATAAAACATCAACAAGGTACTTTCTGTCATAATCATTATTCATTCTTTTATATAAATTTTTTTTAAGCGTTTTCTTAGTAACTTTATCACACGCAACTTCTTCTTTGTAATTTAACAGCTTAGATATTGCAAATTGTTTAAAAAATTCAATTTCGGTTGTTTGAGTCTCCTGGGAGTTTGTATAAATAAACAACACAATGCATATCTTGTAAGTATAATCATTAATTGCTATTTTATAGTCAGAAAGAAGTATTGAGAGAAGATTTTTATAATTAGATGTGCTTTCAAATCCTGATCCGTATATTTTTGTCATCACATTTCTACCTAAAAATTTTTTACAGGCTGCTGAATCAAAATCAATTAATTTCCTTCTTAAAATTCTTATTGCGTAAATCTGATCAAAGTCATATAATTTTATTATCAGGCTGTAAGAAATAAGCAAGTAATCATAAACAATGTTACTATCCATATTTTCATACAAATCAATCATCTCATAAATTCTTTTAAGTAATTCTTCAATATTTTTTAATTCAATATTTTCATAGTTATTTATAATGTAAATAGCAACGTAAAAGACATCTGCTGCTATTTCAAACTGTTTTTTATCATTGAAATATTCTTCGTCTGTAAGAATACAATCAATTATGTTATAATTATCACCGATGTTATAAAATAATCTCATGTAGAACACTTCAATGTCTCTCATAGCACTACTTTCAACATAATCCGTTCTAGGGTTGATAAATCTTGATGCTAAAGTATTGTCGTCACTAAACCCAATAAACTTATCAGGGTTGTTATTGATCAAAAATATGCTTAATCCAATTAAAAATTTTGTATCTCTAAATGATGTTTTGATTTCATCGTTATAATAAATATCAAATAGCTCTTTTAAAATTAATCTGTTACAAGTATTAAAATTTTTAATTGCAATTCCAATAATATTAATATTAACACCTACTACTTGTTTTTTAATATCTTGAACAAGAAACCAATTACTAATCTTATCAAATGTGGAAAGAACAAATATTATGTATTTTCTAAAAGGTTCAAACCCCATACCTATGTGTAAACGGTTGATCATATTTTCAGAAGGAACCAGATGATTTGAAAGAATTCCTTTAGTGATTGTTGATAAATATACAAGCATATCAGCTTCACTTGATGAAGTATAATCATTAGAACCAAAAATAAAACCAGAATAAGATCTAGCAGTGTGTGTATAAACACTTTTGTTAACAGGAGCTATAAATGATAGCAGAAAGATCGAATCATTTGATAGGGGAACCAATGTACTGTTTACTTTAAAATCACAAGGAGTGAACCTTAATTCACAATCAGTTTTGATAAATGGTAGTATGTTAGTTGCTAATAACCTTGCTGCAAACAGTTTACTTCGAATCTGATCTGTATCATTCACATCGACAGCAAGAGTAGCTTTACATTGTAGCAGGATATCTGTAATAATTTCATTGAATTTTTTATTTGACTTCTTTTTAGTCAACTTTCCTCTTTTAACTATTTTCGGAAAAGTATTTTCTTTTTCTTTTTTATTTCTCTTTATATTTAGAATTTTTCTTATCACTTTATAAGCACAATTATGGCTAACTTCAAGAACAGAAGGATCATAGAAATGTTCTCTTTTGTACAATGAATAGTTGTTTTTGTGGTTATTTGTGTTCTCAGAAAGCATGGAAGTGTCAGAAGGTAATGATTCTTGTATGAGTTTATATGGAGACTTAACAAGAGACATTTGTGTCTCAAGAGCAACACAAGAAGCATTAGACTTGATAGTTGTTGAATTTTGAAGGTAAAGAACATTCACATCAGTAATAAGTATGTTCCCATAGAAGAATTCAAATTCACCGCTGGGTTGAATTACTTTAAGAAACATGTTTTCATTAATCATTATTTTTTCAACACCAATAATCTTAAAATCAGATATGTAAGACTCTTCATCTCGAATATTCTTATAATTATAGAAGGTGATCATGTTATCAGTAAAAACAACCAAGTAACTCAAATAAATAATAAGATGATGATGTAAATCAAATTCTGTTAAATTAACAATCGTATTGTCGTCAAAATGTAACAAGTAAAAATCATTACTACGAATTAAAACACACTCACTACCTGCATCAATCAGCTTAAACCTATTATTAACATACAAAGGGGTGTTATCAAACAAATTAAACTTGTCGTTTATTCTAAAAATACCATCTCTATTTTGAAAGTAAACAAACGTGTCAGTATGAACAATTTGAGTGAGATTATTTACAGGGAATATGAGATTGTTATAAAAGATAATATTTGAGTTATTCTGCATCAAATGGCCTTTAAAGTAAAATTTGTTTGTAAATTTGAATTCAAAACTTGCCATAAATCTCTTTAATAAGGGTTTCTCATTAAAATAAAATTAATTAAATTATTTTAAATTAAATTTATTTAAGATGAGTCGTAAAAACATGTTAGATCATTTTGCATCAAATATTCATATTTGTAAAACACACACAATGAAGTTGTTTTTAATGTTATTAGACGAGAATTGTAGAAATTTTTTATATGAAAATCTTTATAATGAATTTAAAGATGCAACTGATATGCCACTCCTCTTAGGGAATGGACATTCAATTAATTGTGATTTAAAAGACGCTTTTATTGAATTGAATTATTTTAATAACACAGTAAGTTATAACGGTGTTGATGATCCTGCTGGTGTGGAATATAAAAATTTATGTAAACAAAAATTTGACGATTTCATCAATCAAGAAATTAAAACAAATTTCTCATTTGAATTCTTATTGTTGTCAAGACTTGATCAGTTATGGACACTCATATATCGAAAAATTAAAGAGAAGAGAGATAAAAAATTTTACAAGACTTTGATCGTAACTTTAAATTTACCAAATAACAAACTCTTTTCAGTTAAAAAAGAAGTCATAAATATTAACAGGATAGTATACGGCAGTGAAGATGAAGATGAGAGTGAAGTTATGAAAGTACTTAATTTTTTAAAAAGTCTTGGATTAGTCTATTTAATTAAAGATGAAGAAGACATCAAATTTTATACTTTTTTTGAGCAACTTTATAGTGAAGTAGATTCATCAGAAAAATCTTTAGTTCTTGAAACGAATTTCAAACTGTATGCCTATTCAACAAAGTCATATGATTTAAGCGTTCTTAAATTATTTGCTAAGATTCTTAGTGTAATAAAAATAAATTCAAGGGAATCTTTCATCAGAGGAATAATTGATGAAAGTATAATTATGGACAGTATTAAAAATAAGAAGATTAATTTAGAACAAATTATTGATTACTTGTATACTAATGCAAGAAACAAAAACACAGTCTTAAATAAGAATTATAAGAGTAATTTAATTGAGTTGATGCGACTGTGGGTTAAATCAAGAGTTGAGAAATATGAAGGTGTTTTAATAGACGGATTTAGATCTTATAAAGCATATCAGGATGCACTTAAAGTTATTGGAGATGAACTAATTTACAAGTCTGATGAGGATAGAACAATATTTATCAGTGATCAAGTATATCACAAAAAAAGAAGTTTATTGTAAAATAAATGGTTTATTATTTATCTTCACTGTCTTTCTTGTAAGAACCAGGTGAGTAGTGACCAGGTGAATAACTGTTATTATAATCTATATCAGGATTGTATCCTAGATATCCTGGAGAATAAGCAGTACTGCTATTATTAGCATAAGGTGAACTACCTGGACTACCTGATGATGGACGATATCTATTACTGCTTAAACCACTAAATTTAGCTGCTGGAGAGCTTCCATATGATGATCTATTTTCATAAGTTGATCGATTACCACTACCATACATAATGTCACCAACACTTCTAGACTGATAAGGAGACAAATTAGATCTTATTGAAGGATTGTAATATGCTGCTCGGCTAGAACCAACCATATTGAAATTATTAGACGTCGGATTAAATGTTGATGAATCTGCTCTGAAAGTTGCCGAATTATAAGGAGCAGTGGTTGATTGCAAAGTCATTGAATATGGAGCATTGGCACTATAATCGGGTGAAAATCCTTTCATTGTGTTCATATCTGTAAATTCACTATAAAAGGCAGATGAATTGCTAATAAAATCAATATCAGGAGCATTAATCTGATCTAAAGCACCCTCAAAGCTATCATCATCAACCTCATCCTTGTTAAATTCTTTTAACTTATCAAAATCCAAGTAAATTTCAACAGCACCAGTTCCACAGTTTACGAGCTGACCACTCATTACATTTTCAGATACTCCCTTAGCTTCATTAAACTCAGCATTAATTGCAGTATTAAGAAAAACATCAACTGGCTGTTCAAATGATGACCTATTAAGGGCACCTGTCTTGACAGCTCTACTCACACCATGTCTAGTAATACCAGTCAAAAAACCACAGGATGTCATAATGTCACAAAGTAAACCAATGTGTCTATAGTTAATATAAGAACCATTCCCTTCAATGACTTGTATGATTTCTCTAAAAATAGACTCTCTTGCTGCTTCAATACCAAGTGTAGCATAGATTTCATTAAAGTCATTAACCATTGACCTCTCAGCATCTACATTTTCAAAAGATAAAGTATCTATGAAATTAATACCATCAGTTTGTAAATACCACTCATTGTTTCCCTGAACTAAATAAGCTTTTTTAATTTTTCTAATACCTGATATGTAGTGATTAAGCAACAAATCCATAGTATTTTGATAAAACTCCCAGGGTTCGTTAGATTTAATAAATCTAATTCTAATAACTAGTTTTTCATCATAATTCTCAGAATGAATGATATGAGTTTTAATATTCAACTTATTAAAAAAGAAGTTAATTTCATCTACTAACATTTCTATTTGAACACCACGTGATACTAACACATTACGATCTAGAACAAATCTAAATATTAGCGGGCCTAAAGAATTATAATCAATTGTATCATCTGGCATTTCAAAGTATCCAGTAACTAAATCATAGTCTTCAGCAATATCGGTACTATTAACTTTAAAATCATATAAAATATTACTTTCTATACAGAAATCTTTAATCAACAAGTGTTCGATGTTATTTTTAGTAATTTTAGCTGCATCAATGGTATTTGTCTTTAAATAGATAATAGATGATGGTGTTCTCAGTTTATGTGATAAGTTAATTATTTCTGCTAATCTAGGCAAACCAGTTGTAATGGTAGATGCAACTCCCGCAAGGTGAAAGGTATTCAATGTCATCTGAATAGCAGGTTGTCCTATTGACTGTGCTGCAAGAGTACCAACATTTTCATAGAATGATATGTGAGCAGATACTATCTTATTGTTAATATCATCAATTAAGCATTCAAAAGTTGTTTTAGACATTTTAATAGTTTCTTTGACAGCTAGTGAGTATCTCAAGTAATATACAAGTGCTGGATTATCTTGGTATAAAGATGCAAAAGAATCAAGTACCTCAAGAATTACAAACGGACTTAATGGATCATTGATATTACCTTTATCTTTAGGGTTATTGGTGTACTTAGTCTTTAACAATCTTTGAATATTAACAGGTGTTATGTAGGAAGTATAATTATTATTGATTAAATAATTATACTCATCATCAAGCTTTTTTTGTAATTCAACATCATTCTTAAAACAGCTATAAACATCAGGATGCACATCTTTAATTTCATATTTTAAATCAACAACCATATCAATAAAAAATCTTTCTTTCATATTACTACGATCAATTATAACTGATTCTAATTTTTTAGAATCAAATCCATCATCACCATACTTAAACTGAAAAATGCTATCATAAGCATTTCTAACAGAATAGTCAAATAAAACTTTAGCATCTTCCATAGTCTTAATTAACTTTCTTTGAATGTACCCAATCTCTGAAGTTTTAATAGCTGTATCAATAATACCTTCACGACCTCCCATAGCGTGAAAGAAAAATTCATAAGGTTGCAAACCAGTTAGATAGGAGTTAAGTACAAATCCACATGGGATTGCTGAATAATCAAAACGATGAAAATGCGGTAGTGCTCTTTGCTTAAATCTAAAACTAATTCTCTTACCAACGACGTTCTGTTGTCCCACACATGAGGTAATCTGACACATATTAATTCTAGAACCTTTCGATCCAGACTGTATCATTTCATTCAAATTATTTCTAGAAGATAACGTTCCTTTAAAATCTCTAGCTTTATTAAGAATAACATTCACACGACTTTCAAAGGTATTAAATAATGATAATCCTGGTGCGTTCTCAAGCAACCCCTTCTTAGCATCAGTAATTGTGTCTTCGACATCAGCAATAGCTTTATTAACAACTTTTTTAGAATCATTCAATATTTGTTCATCTACCAAACAATCTCCAATTCCAACAGAAAAAGAATTGTAATGCAACATATAAAAACCAATAATTCTTTGCATTCTATCAATAAACCTCTTGGCTTCTAAATAATTAAAATCATTAAAAATTATATGTATAAGTCCACCCTGTCCAGAACTACAATTAGATTTATCCAGTACACCTGAAATCAAAATACCATTTAAAACCAACACATCATCATTATCAACTAATGCCTTAAAAAAGTTAATCTTAGGTATTAACTCGGAAATCAGTTGTTTTCCAGTCCATAATTCTACGGGTGACATTATTGCAGGTTTAATATTGAAATCAATACCATTAGCAAAGAATAAATTCATTGCCTCTCTTTTTGTAAACATTGTATCTTTTAAAGTAATTAATCTTATTCCTAATAAGGTATCTTGAACAAAACCAATTACAGGTCTGTTACTTTGTGGAGAAACAATGTGCCTAGATACAGATGCCAGATAAACAAGCTCGGCCTTGGTTAAATAAGTCTGTGGTACATGTACATTCATTTCATCACCATCAAAATCTGCATTATAAGGAGTAGTTGCACTAAGATTTACAGTAAAAGTTTTACTGTTAATTACCTTAATTCTGTGAGCCATCATAGACATTTTGTGAAGTGAAGGTTGTCTATTGAAGAGAACAACGTCATCATCTTGTAAATGTCTTTCAACAATAGATCCAATTTCAAGCTGCAAATCATGCCTATTATATTTTAAATCAATCTTCTGTCCATCTGTTCTGATTACATAATTAGCACCTGGATATTCAGTTGGACCATTATTAATACATTTTTGTAACTTTTGATTATTAAATGGTGTTACTTTTTCAGGAAATGTTAAAATTTTAGCTAACTTAATAGGAAATCCAATTTGATCAAGTTCAATGTTACTATCAGGAGTAATTACAGTACGTGCAGAAAAATCAACTCTTTTACCCATCAAACAACCTCTAATTCTTCCCTCTTTACCTTTAATTCGACAAGTAATTGACTTAAGAGGTCTTCCACTACTGTGGGTAGATGTAGGAATACCACTGACCTCGTTGTTCATAAGTGTAAATATGTGATACTGCAATAGTTGTTCATAATCATTTGCAACGTGTTTAGGAACACTCTCTATTTCATATTTCTTCAAATACCCGTTACTTTTTATGATATCAGTATACTTATACGTAATATCATCTTCAGATCTCAATCCTCTTGAAAGAACAGAAGGTCTTGCTGAAGGAGGAGCAACAAGTATCACACTCAATAAAAGATTCTCAGGTTTAGAATTTTTAGCACTAAATCCTAAAGTCTCAAAATCTTCTTCTTTAATTTTCTTGAAAATCTTCCAAACTGATTTTCCAGAAAGACGTTCTCTGCCTTCACCATCAATTGTAGAATTTCTCATTATGGCTACTAAGAAAAGTCCTTCTTTACGAATGATAGGCTGTTTACATCCACATCCTATTTTATCCCCTTTTGCATTTGTTCTCCCACATATAGATTTGTTCTTTAGTAGTTCCCATGCTTCATCCAATGATTTGATGTTCTTTGGAATTTTTCCTTTCAAATTTGAACAATAGAAACAAATACACTCTAACAATTTCTTTACACTGTTGATATAACCCACATGGAACATTGGTTTACATAATTCAATATGCCCAAAATGACCAACACACTCAAACATATTACAACCACATGTCTTACATCTAAACTGTTTATCTATTGTACCCATTCTCAGATCAAGTAAACCACCATCTTTTGGTACACCAGACTCCATAAGTTCCGAATGCATTATCTGACACACAGAACCCCTTCTTATTTCATCTGGATCAAAAAGCCCAAATTGTATAGATGTAATTCTCTTTGTTATGCTATCAGATGTATTAAACATAATTATGGGTTTAAAATTATCATTAAAAAAAATAATTAAAGTTACCGCTTCTTATAAAACTGTTGCCAAAATAAATAAACTTAAATATGAAGATTGATCTTTTAAATATGGGCAAAGAATTTAAGGATAAACCATGTAGTACAGATTCAGATTGTAGATTCTCCGCTGTGGGGGATTATAATTCTCTCTATTGTGTTGAGAGTAAATGTAGACCACTTAAAAAGCCAGGATCTAGTTGCACATCACCGTTTGATTGTTCATCTTATATGTTTTATGGACCACTTGCATGTTCCGATAGTTGTAAGAAAGGAAAAGAGTGTCACAATAGTGTAATTGAATATACAAAATTTTGCTGTAGAGGTATTCCAAGGGAGAGGGACTGTGATATTACAAGACCTGGTGGATTAAGTGGATGTAATACTAGTCAGATATGTGAGTTGGTGGGTGGTAAACCTAAGTGTGTTGATAGAAGAGAAAAATCATGGTTGTTAGGAATGATTCTTTCAATACTTGGAAATATTTTGATAAACATTGGAATCAATTTGATGAAAAGATCATATAAACAAGCTTATTTAAACATAGTCATTTGCTATATGCCAACTATGCTACTCGGTGAAATGGTTTATGCCTTAGGTAAATTTTCAGGATATGCTTCATACATTTTTGGCAACCAGTCACTTTTAGCAGGACTCAGTGCAACTGGACTGGTGTCAAATTCAATATTTGCTCCAATTATAAACGATGAAATATTTACATGGAAAGATGGTGCAGCTATTATTCTTGTGTTCGTTGGTAGCACTTTTATAGTTTCGAACACTAGCAGAACGCACACAATTTATACTTTGTGCGAGTTGTTAAAGATGTATTTTAGAAGAGCTACTGTTTTATGGTTTGCTTTTATTATTTTAGTTATAATTATTCTATTTTTCTTTATAAAGTATATTGAAGTTAATAGTGATTGGAGTTTAATAGATGATCCATTTCAATTTATGCAGACTAGTCAATATTTCGAAGCAGATGGGATTATATGCAAGTATTTCATGGTTGTGGCTTATGTTGGATTGAGTTCGTTTATTGCTGCATATTCTACATTAAGTGCTAAGAGTCTCGGTGAGATTATTGATAAAACATTGGGTGGTGACAACCAATTTAAATATTTTATTAGTTATTTCTTTATCATCACCTTAACAATGTGTACTATTGGACAGATATATTGGTTAAACAGGGCTTTAAAACATTTTGATGCGCTTCTTGTAATACCTATTTTTCATATTTTCTGGACAATGTTATCAATTTTAACAGCAGGTATTTATTTTCAAGACTTTGACAATTATTCATATAAACAGTTACGAAACTTTATTGTGGGTGTTTTTATTATATTCTGTGGGTCTATATTTTTAGGATTCAGAATTGTTAACAAGAATGCAGTTGAATCACATTTATTATATAATCAAAATGAAAACAGGAACGAATAAAACTACTTTTTAATCATCTTTAGAATATTAACTATCTCTTCGTATCTATCAAATAAAATTTTGTATTTTAAAAAATTACTTTCAATTAAAACATCATCAATTTTTTTTGACTTGTATAGAAATAACTTATTAAGCAAAAAAATAGCTTCATCCTCATCTCTGATTAATCTTATTAAATTATTAACTTCCTCTTTATCTAAACTTTTCAGATAGAAATCTGTATCATATTTTGTCAAACAATCCTTATATAGAGAAATATCTTTATACAAATTGCTCCTAAGTTTTGTTATTGTTTTATTTTCATTAATATTATTTCTAAGATTATTATTTAAATCTAAAATAAACATCTCTGTTTCTGTTTTATTTTCAACTTTCTTATTTTTCAATAAAATTTCATTAAGTTCTATTTTTTTCTTTCTACTAAATAAATCTTTGTCATAATAAAGATCAATATCGTTATTATTTTTTAAAACATACAAAAATTTTAATTTTTCCTTAAAAAAGCAAGATTCTACATTTTTAATATACAAAGTATCACAAACGGTGTTTGAGACTACATCAGATATTTTTATTGTGTTATGATCAATTTCCCCTTTATACCTCTTACTCTGATCCATAAATACTTTACTTTGATCGTTTTTATCAAATAAACTCAAATTCTTATTGTTTTTAGATTTATATAAAGTTAACTTGTTATTAATACACATGTAAATGTTAATAAATGATGAACTGATTATTAAGATTAAATCTTTGTTTATAAATGAAGCTTTGGCTTTAGTTTGACGAATACTAAATATTTTTCTCATGTTATTAAGTTCATAAACAATAACACCATCTGAGTTATTTACAATCAAATGATTAGATCTTATTGTGACACTATCGACTTCTTCTTTAATAAATTTATC